ATGTGATACATTTATCCTTTGCTGTGAGCGCAGTCATACAGATTTTAGTCGAGACATTTATCTCAAAGATACATTCCCTCATTATATAGATCCCATACAGAGCCTCAGCCTGGCAACCTAAATAATTATGTAAATCAGCCTGGTGACCTAGGAAAACACACATGAACTGTTATATAGGAATCAGACCCTTTTGCAATTTCAGAGTCACGTGTTTTCACGATAACCTAGCACCCTGAGTGTAAAAATGTCAGGACATTCAGTATACTGGAACTTGCCATATAACAGAGAGACAACCAATGCTGCTTGGTGCTCAAATGTGAAAGCTGATTGAAAATGAAAATGGTGACCATATACAGTAATATCATCCCAGAGAATTAAACATTGTTGGTGTTTCTGCTGTTTAAATGTCTTCTGAAGCTAATTCAAAAACTGCTCTACAGAGATGCACTACTGTATTTGTTTTCTTTTGTCATGTTTCTCTTTCATAACATAAATGAACAGGGTTAGAGGTGCTTTCTGTTGTGCAACCCTGTGTTGCATAATGACAATAGAAAATACTTGAAAAAGGCCAACACCAGTTGAGGTAGATGTTGAAATTTGGCAGAAATGTTCGGAAAGGCCATGTCGATTGCCTGTTGGATTTGTTTCTGAGGCAGGGTTTTGTTTTGTTTGTGCCCTTTGAGAAACTGCAGCCAACCCCATGGCAGCTTCACACAAGAGCAAACAGGTCACACACATTTTCCTAAAAAAGTTGTTCAAAAGTACCAGTTTGTTGTGGGCTTTTGTGTCCAACTTTATTTGGAAACCCGTTGGTCCCATTCTAGCATGCGTAAATATAGACTACTGCAAAAAACTAGCTGGTACCACAGAAAATAATTTTCCAGCTTGATTTACGTGATGAGTATTGAGAGTGTGACCTTAAATGCCCTTAGATTGAGCTTCCCAGGCCTTTTTTCCTTCTCGAGTTAAATCATGCCTCCCTCGCTAGGATTCCTGGGAAAGAGTAAAATAATAAACCCTCAAGCTACACACTGCTCGGCACATCCACACAATACTACTACTGCCCTCTGTAGGCAAAAGGAGATAACTGCAGGAAATTACCAACATCACTGCAGATCATTTCATTCATCAGTCTTCATTTGCCTGCATGTCATTTCATTTAAAGACTCACAGTCCCATTTAGCACTTGCAGGAAACCAGAGTTTGCTTCTGCTAGTACTGAACGTGTATTTTGTTTACCCCAAGATGACAAAACATCCAAAGATATCACATTTATATGATATATATAAATAGATAAAACTGAAAAGGCATCACATCCTCATTATAAAGAAGCCAGAACTAAAGAATAATGAACGTTTTTGCTTAAAAAACTGTCCATAATCACAATTGTTGCAGATTGAATGAGTAATTTACATTTTCGCTGTACATTTGAACACTTTTAGATATGTATTAATAACAAGGTACCTTGCTAGCTGAGGGGTTACAACTCATTCTACATTATAGCAATATTCGATTGCAGCCTCTACTCTCCCATTTCCAGTCCATCTCTACACTGTCAGATAAATTAATATAAATATAAACAACGTATCATAAAAAGTATTTATATTAAGAAAATCAAATGTAGTTTGCGTCCTGAAGTAAATATTCAAGCTAAGTGTGTGTGTGTTCCCTGCCGCAGACACACAGAGGCAGATGAGCATGCGATCCAGCACTGTTTCTGCTACACTTCAACGGTCCTCACTTCAACTTTGGCCTTCCAGAAAGAACAGAAGCTCAAAGTGGACTGCCAGGTACTGCACATGCCCACACACACACTCACCCATACACACATTATATATGCCTCCATAAATATGCATGAAGTTAAAGAGCTTTCCGTGTCCCCTGTTTCTTCACCCAGGCACTCTTACAAGTGGCCAAAAATCTCTTCACACACTTGGGTAAGTTCTGCCTGTCTCTGTATGTGAAGAAAGAACGTTGTAGCATAATTTGCGTTAATGGCCCATATTTAAGTGATCGCCCAGTGAAGCGAATGGGGCATGTAATTGTATGTGACACTACCGAAAAGGTGATTACACTCATTATCATAACCATAAAATCAAAAGGGCATTGAAAGTGATGGCTCCACCTCTCTATCCTGTAATTATACTGAGTCATTTAGATTTCTATCTAACGGTAAGCACCAACTGCACAATAAGTCATTGATGATTCATCGTGATTGCAGGTGCAAAGAATTGATCCACTGGTACAGCAAATTGCCCTCTCACTGTACCCAACCGCTGATTACAAAAGCTCTTATCATCTTGTACCACTACTCACTGTATGATCTCTGTTTGTGTCTATCTGGGCTTTGCTTTTATTCCTTTAATTTCCTCTGCTTTCCTTTTGTTTCCTCTCTCACCCACTCTCTCCCTCTCTCTCCTTTCAGATGATGTGTCAGTGCTGTTACAGGAAATTGTAGCGGAGGCCAGGAACCTCAGTGATGCCGAAATGTAAGACCTCTGATTCATCTTCAAAGGGATGCTTCAATGCGTGTGTGTGTGTGTGTGTGTGTGTGTGTGTGTGTGTGTGTGTGTGTGTGTGTGTGTGTGTGTGTGTGTGTGTGTGTGTGTGTGTGTGTGTGTGTGTGAAAGAGTTTGTGTGTGGTAGTGTGAATGTCTTCATCCCAATTTAAAAAGACTGTCTGTGCAATTTGTTCGTTAAGCGTCTTGCCGCATTTAAATAAAGTACAAAATGACCTGAGATGAAACAAGATATAACATTCTCATTTTCTCCGCTTTGCTTCATTCTCCGTCCCACCTCTAACTCTGTCTCGTTGTCTTTCTGTTTCTACAGCTGTTCTGTGTTCCTTCTGGACCGAGTCAGTCATGAGTTGGTGGCTAAGGTGTTTGACGGAGGCGTGGTCAGTGATGAGGAGGTGAGACACACGTGCACACACACAGACAGGTGCATGTGTCTTTCCTGTGACCTTTTAGAGGAGAGATATAATGTCTTTATTAGTGAGATGGCAGTCAAGATAGACTGGATGCGATGAAACGGAGAAATAGGGAATGACATTCAACAAAGGTCCCCATCCAGACTGGAATGCAGGATGTCGTCAGCGTCTTTTGTTGAGCATTTCCTGTCTGGCTGTACTGTCAACAATCAATTAAAAGCAATCTGTGTGTGTGTGTGTGTGTGTGTGTGTGTGTGTGTGTGTGTGTGTGTGTGTAAGACCCCAT